GAAGGTTTATTAGAGACGTGGCCGTCGATCTACTGCCACTATTGAGTCATTGTATTTTTTATTTGTTTTTTGTATTTTCTTATTTATGATGTCATATTGTATTTGCTTTATTTAGTTTCCCGTTGTACCCTTTTATTAAGGGATGTCGTACGTAAGCCCTAGGGGCATTGTTGTCCTTTATATTTGAGTCATTGTAAGAGGCTATTGATAGCCCCCTTGTTCTTCTTTGCAAGTTAATGAATGATTGATTAAAATATTTTCTTCCCCTAGCATGAGTTCTTGAGAGAGCTTGAGCAATCGGAGAGAGATCCCTTGGAGAGGGAGAATTGCGCATCACCCACCAACTTAAACGAGTAGGGTTCGTGGCTCTATTACATATCTCTTCCTTTCCCTTCCACCACCACCGGCCAACATCATACCCACGGTTTCTCCCTTCCCCCAAGCCCTTCCCCTTCTCTCCACCAAGCTCCACATAATTCTCACCTAGCCGCCGGCCCCATGCCCGAAGCCCCTTCAATCCGCGGCCCTAGATCCCCTCCCCCATTTCTTTCCCTTGCCTAATTTGGATTGGCATAATTTGAACATATTTTGGAATTCAAGTTCAAACAATTTGAAATTTAAAATCTTTCCTAAATTACCAAATCTATTTTAGGAAAGTTCCTAAATTAAATCTATTTGAATTTCAAATTCAAATCGGATTTAATTAAATACTTTCCTAATTTCCCAAACCTAAATTAACCAAGCATTAAACACTTGATTGAAGCCCTCCCCCATTAATGCTGCCAGCCCCCTCTTTGGGATTGGGATAGGAAATCTTTCCTAAAACCCAATTCTTTACTTTGGAAATAATTTCAAATCCCCTATTCCCTCCTTGGCCGAAATCTCATAACCCCCACACCTCATTATCTTCTTTCCTAAAGCAAGAATTGAGATTTGGAAACAAATCCCCCCCCCACTAATTCCCTCTCATGCCGCCACCCCTACCTCTCTCTATCTCCCCTTAATTAATTTTACGCATGAGGATTAATTAGAGGATTGATTGGCACTTCTTCCTCCACAAAATCTGAACCTAATTTCTCCTAAGCCTCCATCCCTTAGACAGTCATACCTTGTCACCCCCCACTTCAAGTTGAAGAGAAACTTCTTTCTCTTCAACGGAGTTCAAGTTTATTAGCAATCATTGGAAGAAATCATCATCTAGCATTCATGAATGGTCAATCCCGACACTAACTACGGACTTGCCTACGACGAATACGGCTTCGTGCATATTCTCCATTCAACCTTCTTCGACGTCAACCCGAGGATCGACCATACGGTTGAGGACTACATAGAACGCATCTTGGACACCTTGGTTGAAGCTATTAAAGAACAACTTGAGATCGTCAAGTGAAGGATTGCAACCGATCCTTAACAAAGGTTTTCTAATTTTCTTTTTTTTTGTATTTCTTAAGTCTAATCCTCTCTTGTGATTTGATTGTATTCATGAAGGTAGCATTTGCCCGATTCTGCTAAGCTTAGTAAATGTAGGAATTTGAGTGCATTCATTTGATTTCTAATCTTATTGTTAGACTAGGGATTCTCGTTGAAAGCTACTACTTTGCATGATATCATTTTTCCTATGATATTTTGATGATTCAAATCCCTTGATATGTAACTTAGCCTAAACGAAAATGACCGATCTTATGTTTTGATTCATCGTTTTATTTGCTAATAGTTCTCTTTGTTATTTCTCCAATCAATAAGTTGTACAAGATCTTAATAAAACCCTTGCAAGCATTGTAGTCCTACATCATCATATCACACCTATAATGAGGGTAGAAGACAAGCCCAACCAAGAGTTGCTTCGCAATATATTTAAGAATGCCAAGAAAAACAAATTAAGGCAATCAATGAAAAAAGAAAAAAAAAATCTTTTAAACAAACATCCTTTCAAAAAGTTGAAGCTAGAAGAAGGTGAGGCAAACAAGGTGATGGAGAATCCTGATGTAGCCCTGACTCAAGCAATTTGTGTAAATAATCTCACCAATATCTACGCAAGTGAATCAATAACCAAGTTAAAGATTTCTCAAAATAAGTCAATAATTAAGCCAACGATTTTTTTTAATAAATCAATAAGTAAATCAATGATTCTAAAAAAATAAATAATGACTATTTAGCATGATTTAGTGACTCTTTATAAAGAATGACCAAGTAAATAAGTTAATGATTGCTTTTAACCATTTGTAAAAGACGTAATCACCTTATAAAAGTATTGAATGAAATCTATTCTCTTATATGTTGCTTGTTTTTCCATCTTTGAATATTTTGTATTAACAAGCTATTGTGTAGAGCATATCCTCAAGGCTATTGAGTTGAACATTTGCAACAAATAATTGAATGCATGAATGTGCATAGATTAAAAAAAAAAAATTATATGATACTTCTCTCAAGTCTTATTTGGCCTTCTCTTTTATATATACATCATTAAACAAGTCATCGACTAAATAATAAATGTCGAATTTTAGGGCTAGACTTTGTATTTAAGAGATATAAAAAAGGTTTTGGGTCTAATGTGTGACTAAAGCATTTCTAATAATTGACCAACAACTAAATAATAAATGTCGAATTTGCTAAATGCTAAATTTGGTGAGTATTACTGAACGCCAAAATACAAATTTATTGAGCATTGTCAAGCAATGAATACCAACGTGCACTGCTGATAATGGCATATTGAGTTCCCCAAGCATTGCCGAATAATGATACCAAATTCCATTAGCATTTGAATAATCACCAAATTTGAAAATCCAAAGTGCGTTTGATCCATCGCTTAATTTTCTTTTGGGTAAACCATTTGAACTAATTTATTATATTTTAGCTAAAAGAGAATGAAAGGAAAACAATTAGAATAAGTATTGTACATAAAACAAAAAACCTAGATAAATGAACAATATATAAAGTCTTAAAGACCTGAAAGGAATCCTTTAGCTTATTTATTGAACCATTTCATGCTGAAGAGTCATTACTCATTTTTTGTTAAAAAAATTTTAATTTACTAATTGAATCATTTTGGGAAATTGTTGACTCGATTATCAACTTATTTTGAAAAATCTCTAACTCGATTGCTAGCTCATTCGCATGAACATAAGTGAGATCACCTATAAAGTCACTTGAGTAGCGGCTATATCAAGATTCTCCATCACCTTACTAGCCCACCTTCTTCCAATATCATCTTTTTGATAGATGATTTGTTTAAGAAAAAAATTCTTTTTCATTAATTCCTTAATTAATCTTTTATTCATTTTCTTAATGATGTTGCAAAGCAACTCTTAGATGGGCTTGTCTTTGACCCTCATTGTAGAGATGTCATCCAATATGAACATATAATAAGGTAAGTTGTAAAGAAAGAAAACAATGAAGAATAGAAGTTTTCAAATGCTATCTCTAGACGCATATTCACAAGCTTTTGCCAAGGTTGACACATACATTCAATCATATTAGCATCACAACTCATCAGGATAGTAAATTTACTAAAATTCTTATACTATCATTAAGATAATATATTTCTAATTTTTTTCTTATTCTTTTTGTAAGCTGCTTTTCAAATATACAAGAGAATCAGGGGTTAGAGGGAAAGTCCAAGAACACACTTGATTATCTCGGGTTCTCTACTTTCAAACAAAATAGAAATCATAGAACTCTCCTATCCTCTTCTCCCCCTCTCTCTATTTCTCTGTTTTTCGAAGTCAATCTTGCAAATAAGGTTTGAGTGTTGCCCAAAGACCAAATTGGATTTAACAAAGGCCATGTTGTAAGAACCACTGTAGAAGCTACAAAATTTAGCTATTATCATAAATATTTTAAAATTTCCACAAAACATGTTAGTCATTTAAAAAAAATTATGACCAACCCAATATCTTTTGCTACAATAGTCACAAAAACTATCAGCCATACTATACCTATTTACATTATTGAAAAAATGTGATTAAAAAAAGCAATTTACAGCACTTTCACTCACATTTCTTTAATAAATGTGGCAATAATGAGATCTTTAGTCAAAGTACTTAAAAAATGTGGCTATAACTCAAAATTCTTGTAGTGAACTCATTTCATTATTAGCCTTAATGCCTAAAGTGTAGTGAGTAATATATGACAAAAATACAACACAGGGAGGGATAGGAAACAAGTGAGTAAAATGAACTCAGACTAACAACTAATCATTAAATATGTAAATGCATCTGATTTCGTATGATACAAATCAAAATGCGACCCTTACATATTTTGGCCTTTAAAAAATTTGAAAAAAAACATAATAATTAGCCGGGTGTGAAAAGTTCTCAGCATGTGCATCATCCAAAGAAGTCGATGAAAAAAGATTTTAGACCTATACGCATTATAGAACTCAGTCTGCAATAGATACATGAACCGAGTTAGAGAATCCTCCTTATTTAAATAATGACCATCCAGGCTAATTATCTCCAAGACCTTCACAGCTTAAAATCACACAGATTGGAACCTCAGGAAGAGGGATACAGGTTTTACGTGTAAGATGTGCTTAGGAATTTTTAAGTTAATTATTACAATATCCTTTCTTTTTATGGTAAATGGGTGGAAAAGATAAGGTATTTAACATTTTTCCAGCCATATGATATTCAACTAAATCTCAAAACCAGTAAATCATAATTACCAGACTAAACTACTAGTTACAACCAGTGCATGTGATTATCAGAACTAGAAAAGTAGAAAAACATTACACTTGGATGCTTCCAATTGAAGCTAGGTACTAATTAGAGAAGTATCACTTGCACTGTTCCCTACATATTCTACTTTGAAAGATATAAGAAACAATACCAATTTTAATTGGAAAAAAGAGCATGGAATTGCCTGAAAATCCAATTGTCCATCAGAAATATGGCAACATTGGTATGGTTAAAAAAAAATAAAAAAGCAGCAGAATGATATGCCAAGAAAAATCAACAGAAATGTGTTTTTATGATTTAAAAATGCAAGGAAGAAGACCTCACCCTTCTTTGTACTACAACATGCTGATAGAATGATGCGATTAACTGCAAGAAACAAAGTTTGCATTATTTAAGAAGCTCCACAAAATTAAAATGTTCCAAAGCAAAATACAAGACTACACAATCATTTTATCATGAAGATCATAACAAAGGATGAGGAAAGACTGAGAATTTTCATTTAAAACTACTGAGAATTCTTCGGCCTCCTCAAATGTTGTGCAGGAAGTGATGGCAAACTCAAAGTTTACAAGATGTGTTCATCAATCATTTTGAATTTTCAAATTTACATTTTGAGTGGTAAAAAAAAAAGTTAAGAGTATATACTTGCATTTCAAAAAAGTGTGGCAATGATAAACGGCACTTCCGTTGGATGTGGTTGGTCGGGTTTTCCTATGCTAAGGTGTAAATTTGTGCTAATTCCAAAAGTGGCTGTGATTGGCTTCTTATGTTTTCCAGTTTATTTAATGGTCCCCTTCCTGGAGCTTCCGCTTGTGGCTCCTTGCAGCTATTTTTAATGTTGCTATTTCCAATTTCTGACTGCTGTTCCGACAACTATTCTAGGAGGTTATTCCACAAGTCTTCATATTTATATAGACTCTTGGTAAATGGCTATTCCATGAGGCATATAAATGTGTGTTCTAACGCACATAAAAAACAAAAAAATTTACTTTCTAACGTGCAAACTATTCTTTTTTGTTCGGGTATTTTAGTCCTTAATCAAGTGTAGAATTTAAAAAATATTCGGGAGAGGTGATCTCCTTGCTCAAATATGAGGCTTGTTGTCAGTTATTTCTCTCTCCAATAATTTCCCTCTATATCATTTTCTCTCTCCTCGTTTTGACATTATTGGTTGAAAGTGATTTTTGTAAAATCTGCTACAATAGAAATGTTTCTAGGAACAAAATTCAAAACACATGTGACTTTCATCATCGAGAATAGTATATATTTAATGACGTGAGACCAACAAATCAATCACTCTTGGAAGGGATCCTTGAGAACACAAATTAGGAGTTCCAACTGTTCAACCGATCCTCTTATGACCTTAAGATTACAATCCATGTACCTCTTCCTCTTCTAGCCACTAATCTCTCTTGTGGACATTTTCTTTTTATGCAAATAACTTTGATTTTTTTTCTATTATAGACTTTTGGAGAAGTTTATATATACATCAATGCTTTATACAAAATTAAGCAATAAAATTCAATATAATATTTCTACTTTTCTACATGGTATTAGGGAGTGAGATAAGAGTTTTCTTCTTTCAACATTTTTTCTCTTACTTTCTTGTCGAGATTCGTATTTTCCTTCATTATATTTGATTTCTTTGACTTTCATTCTAAGGAGTCAATCATTATGAATAGTGAAATTCATATTGATTTAAGGGAGAACTCCAAAGGGTATAAGCCTTATATCATTTAAACAAGAAAAAACTATCTGAAGTAATCCCAAATTGTGTAGACTTTTCTAAAAGAAAAAGAAAATAATTAGCACCTTATACATCCTCCTCCATAGTTGAAGAACCCAAAATTTGTAGTTTGGGATAAAGCAATTTCCATTATTATAGCATGGTTGCATAATATCATGTTGCCTAAATCAATGGACCATAGATGTTCCTCTCTATCGCAAAGGAAGTTTGGGACGCTGCCAAGCAAACATAATCAAAAGTGGGGTAATATCCTGTTATTGAGTACTTTAATGGAATGAAGATTTATTGGATTGAACTTGATTATTATCAAGACCTTAAGATGATATTATGCGGCATTCTCAAAGACTCAACAATGACTTCATTCAAATTCATGTCTAAATCTTAAGCAGAAAAACTTTACCATTACTAAATGACATTTTTTTCTTTTATACGAGTCGAAGAAGGAAGAAGAACAATAATGCTACATGTTATAATCTCTGAAACATCTTCCATAACAACCACCAAGCCCCAAGGTAAGGAACTTACGGCTGCAAACTTTTTCTCTAAAGAAAGACAAAAGCCTTCTCCAAATGCATACCATAGTGCAATTACTATCAGAAAAAAAGAACACAAAAGAAAAATGTTGAAAATTCCACAAAAAAACCCTAATCTTATTGTGGATACAAAGAAAGTTACCTAAAGAGGGTATGTCTGCCTTGTGGGAATCATAAGGGCTCGATCAAAAATAAATTTAAAAACTCAAGAACTTTCTCAACTTTCTAGAAAAATCATGTAAATCATGCTCCCAAATTCAAAAAAATATGACTTATAACTTTTATATTTTCAATGCCATAAATAATTCCCCTAACACATAAATCCTAGATTCAAGAGTCACTAACCACAAGAACAATCTTGCAAGCATTTGCAAGCTTGTAAACACTGCCCTAGCAATAAAAAAATAAAAGTGGTGGATTGTGTTCAAAAAACTATTGTAGCTGAAAATGCTTCAATATTCTCCACATTTACCCTCAACAATGTCCTGCATGCTCCTTATATTACAACAAATCTTCTGTCAATTCATAAAATCACTAAAAAACACAACTGCCAGGTAAACCTTTTTACTAATCATTGTGCATCGCATTTCAGAACACCACTACTAGGAAAATGATTGGGCAAGCTAGAGAGAATGATGCTCTATTTCTTTTCGAAGATAAAAATTACTTGTCATATTCCTTCATTTTTACCCTCAATATAGTAGTCATTTGCAAATAATATTATAGGCTGGGACACCACTCTTTCAAAACCCTACAATTTATATTTTTTCTTTTTTTTAATATGAATATTGAAATTTTTCATTCTAAGATTTATGAAATTGCCAAACACCATTATGTTATTTTTCTTAAAAGTGATTTTAGATCATCTACTTCTTTTCTAATTGTTCACTCCAACATTTAGAGGCCTTACAAAATCTCCAACATTTCTGGAGCTATAGGATTTATCACTTTTATTGATGATTACACTTTGTGACATAGGTATATCTTATCAAATAAAAATATGATGTTAGTATTATTCTCTTTAATTTTGTTGTTATGATAAAAAATAATTCCATGCTAACATTAAAGAATTTTGTGATGATAATGCTCGTAATTATTCTAATCATATATTCTCATTTTTTTCTAAAAGAATGTATAATTCATCAATCCTCCTATCCTAAGACTCTCCAACAAAATAAAATGGCAAAAAAATCATCAAAATTCTTCTCTTCCAAAATAATATGCCAAAAAGATACTAGAAAGTAGTCCTAACTGATAAATATCTAATCAATAAAGAATACCCTTAGAGTGATTGGCTTCAAAGTCATCTAAACAATTTAGCTAAATTCTTCCCCACAAATAACTTCCTCTCAAAATTCCTCCAAAAATCTTTGCATGCATTGCCTATGTCCACATCCACAAACAATACAAAGTTAAAATTGATCCTGGAGCTCTCAAATATGTTTTTTATTGGATATTTCTCCACTAAAAAAGAATATAAATGTTATCATCCTACTACCAAAAAAATCTTAATTTAAAAGATGCTACATTGGACAAAAAACAAAGTTTTTTTTTTTTTCAATTAAACTTATCTTTATGGAGAGAACCCTCAACTAAAAGATGAGTTTGATGAAACCTCTGACATCTTGACATTCCTATATCACAAATTCTAAAAAATTCAGATACTATAACCTTTCAAGTCTAGATAAAAAGGAATAAAGTCAATCGAAATCTCCAGCAAGCTCAAGACTTAGAATCATTATCGAGTAATAATGATCAATCCATCTGATACAGCGGTTCCTTTGGAACCGCCTCAGCCAGCCCATCATGGGCCGGCTCTTGTATACCAAAGGAGGCAATTTCTCCTCCTTTCTTGCCCAAATTAAATTACCGCCTAAGGGTGGGGTCCACGGGATTTGAATTTATTTGAAAATTATTTTTAGGAAAGATTTGAGGAGGTGGAAAAGTCTTTAAATAGGAGAAGTAAGGGGTAGGGAAGGGCATGCAAGTATTGTTTTCTTCTTGGAGTTTCTTGGGTGTTTTGGGCTCTAGATACTTGGGAGGGTTTTGGACTAATAAAAGGAAATAAAATTGTAGTTTCCAAATAATTTTTTTTCTATAAAATATAGAGCAGATGAAAACCTAAAACAGTATAAAACGAGATTAGCAGCCAAAGCAATTAGTTGATCCTACGTAACTAACTACCAAGAAATTTTTGCTCATATTGTGAAAATGAATAAAATACGCATCTTAGTTTCTTGCAACTAATTGTGGATGATCCATGCATTAATATGAAAAGAATGTTTTCTTACATGGAGATGTTGAAAAAGAAGTATAGATGTATCTACCACTTAGATTTTATAGATTTTGCACAAAGAACAAAGCATGCAAATTTAAAAGACTGTGTAAACCTTAAACAATCTCCGAGAGCATAATTTGGTAAATTCACAAAAGCTATGAATAAAACTGAATATAAATAAAGCCAAAGAGTCATAACCTCTTTATAAAATACATCCTTGATGGTAAAATATTAATTGTTATCATATATATATTAACGATATAATTATCACAAGCGATGACAATAGAGAAAAGAGTCACTTAGAAAATAGATTGTTTTAGAACAAGAAATTGTACAAACACAAATACTTATTGAGAATATAAGCCGCTAAATTAGAATAAAGAATATTCCTCTCAACAAAAATATATCTTGAATCTAATGAAAGAAATAAAAATAATTGATTACAAACTTCATAAACCCCAATTAAATCAGGTCAAGTATTAGACATAGATGAAGACGAAAAAAAAAATAGACGGGAAAATATTAAAGATTAGTTGAAAAAATGATCTATCTATCTTACAAACCCAAAGAATTTCATCAATTAATTAATTCACAAACTCAAAGAGTCTCATCTTCAAGCTACTCACAAAACCTTCGCATGTCATAAATCAAATCCTGGTAAAAAAATTATCTATAAAAAGTGCGATACTTAACAAATTAAAAGGCATATTAATGTAGACTACACAAAATAACCAATTGAAATGACTATCCTTGGAATAAAGTTTTCTGACTAAATAACTATGAAAAAAAAACCTGTGATTGTTTAACAAGCTCAAGGGAGAAATTAAATGATGGACTCAAAGGACTGCCTAAGCCCAATCCATATCCGATTGCACAACTCCAGCTCTTCAAATCCTTGAAATTCATAGGACGTCTACTTCCATCTGCCAAAGAATTAAACCCATAAGAAACACAGATGATGGTATGAATGATCAATTTTTCCAAGCTTCCACTTGATAATTTTTCATCATAAATATTCAGCAGCTTTAGAAATCATCAGATTAGGCTTGGTGCTCATAGTAGACCGGCCACTTTATAAAATATTAGATTAGGCTTGTTGTCTCATAGTAGACCTAACCGTCATGATTAATGTTTCTCATGCAGCTTAAATAAATGGCATGTTTTTGCCCAAGTATATGAACAAAAAATAAGCAATATATTTCACTTTAAGCTGTTGGATTCAAATGTGCAAGTGTTCAACTAAAATGATCGAGTTATTACACTTACTTGGGGGATCATACTTCACACCCAGGCTTAACCTCCCTGTTCTTCCAACCACCCAAGCAGAGATTGGAGTCTCCCTGGATACTAACCAGATACAAGAGACAAAAGTATGCAATTAGTAACCACGGACGAACAAGAAACCAAAACAATTTACATCTACAAATATAACTACAAGAGCGCACTCAAAACAGCTTAAAGACTACAATCAAAAAAGGGTAAGAGCGATAATGATGCTACGGTAGGACTGTCTCAAAAACAAAATGACGAGGATACAAACACTCAAGTCAAATACAGCAATCACCTGTGCTTTCATAGATCAAGAAATGAGTGATATATTGTCATTATAGAGAGCAAGTCTTCATAGCCTAAGCTTCTATTTTGCAAGGACTCCAAAAAGATCTTTTGACAAAATGTTAAACACTCATAAATCCCACTACAACGTACTAATTTCCAACGAAGGAAATTGAATTAAGGGCGCCTATGAGTGCAAATGGTAGTGTGAATCTGAAAATTTGTGTTCTTTGAGAATGCAATTCATTTTTTTTTTTCTTAGCCTTTTTTTTCTAGTTCATTTCAAGTGTAAAAGCATGCCTATGATAACTATACGTTTTGACTCAGCCCATTGAATTCTGATGTAGGCAATGGGGGGCTCAAAACAAGTTGGAATTTATTTTTGGTTCTTGCCCCCTTTTTTTTATTCTTAGCCTTTTTTTCTAGTTCATTTCAAGTGTAAAAGCATGCCTATGATAACTATACGTTTTGACTCAGCCCATTGAATTCTGATGTAGGCAATGGGGGGCTCAAAACAAGTTGGAATTTATTTTTGGTTCTTGCCCCCCTTGGCTGCCTTTTCCTTTCCCCTTCCCTGTGTTTTCTTCCTGGTGTTGTTTTCCCGTGGCTAGTTCTCCCTTGCTTGGTGATGTTCCGTCTCCTGTGCTGCCCCTTCGGTTTCCTCCAGGTGCTGGTCCCATGACTGCTTCACCTCCCTTTGCTGGGTGTTGATTCTGATCCCCTGTGTGCCTTTTCGGTTTCTTCCCTGGTTGCGTTCCCGTGGCTACTTTTACCCAGTTTTCTGTGCTGCCTTTTCAGCTGTTGTTCTGGAATTAATTATGACCTTTTTATAGCTGTTTGGGTGTTGTTTCTGGACTAAACTTTTGGTCTTCTAGTTCCCATAATTTAATGGGTTAATTAGTGTTTTTGGTGGCCGTTTGGTTGCCCTTTTCTCCTATATATAGGAGATGTTTTGTATAGAAAAAAAGAGTGTTATGATGTGATTTTTGGACATGAAAACCTGGGGGTTTTTGGAAAAGCTTGAGAGCTTTTTCCACTTCTTCTTCTTCTACTTCTTGGGAAGGCTTGCGAGCTTATCCTATCTACGTCTTGGACTTCTAATCTCTTTCTTCTCGCCGCAAGTGACCACCCCACCTGTATCCTTCTTCTCAACGAATGCAAGCTCTTTTAGGTGTCTTTATTTTGTCGTTTGTAAGCGTCAAAGTTTGTAAGTCCTCTAATATTATAAAAGTGAAGTTATTTTTGTTTTAAATGTTATATAGTTTTTGAAAATTTTGTGTCATTTCTATTTCCTAGGAAGATATAGTTTTTGCTTGCAAAAATTTGGAGCTTTTCCAAAAAATTAGGGGGAATGAACCTAATTAAAGATAATTTATGAGCTGAATTAAGTAGAAGAAAAGCATTTATGAGCTGATAAAGAAAACTCACAAAATTAAAAATCCAAAATGTTTTGACCCCCCTTGCCTACATCAAATTCACAGTCACAACATCTGAAGTTAGAGTTATTTTTATGATAAGAGTTGTTGTATGAATGCACCTTGTTTTCTACGACTAGTTTCCCCTCGCTACTACCAAATGATGTCTCTTGCTTCCTATCCCCACTACTACTCGATGCTCCTGGTGTTATCCATTTCCCACTATGGCTTCAAAAATTCACACTCCGGCCTCTCTGCAACACTTTTGTTGACAGAGATAGTTTTAACAAATTAAATTTCGAGATAAATTTTCATAAGATAGATTGAGTTTTTAGATAAGATACTACCAAGAGATTTTGTCATCACTTTGCAATGACTTTATGATCTGATGTTTGATTTTCTATAGGCGCAAGCCCTAATGGTTAGTTACACATCCCGATAACTATGGAGTCAAGACTTGACCCAACCCGAAACTTGACCAGAAAAATTTCGGGTTTGGGTCAACCAGTTTGTCAAGTGGGTCGGGTTTGGGTTCAACAAGCCGATCAATTTCAAAAATCGGGTCGAGTTCGAGTTGACCTAGAAACCCGAAAGTGACTCGAAAATCAGCACTTTTGAGATTTAGGTTTTAAGTAAACGCCTTATCAGTTTTCGTTTGGCCATCCAGGCATCCATTTTCTTCTCTCGTTCAATCATTATGTCAACTTTGTTCGAGTTCTTTATCTTGCTCTTCTCAACTTCGTCTTTTTCCCTCTTTGCCCTTAGCCTCTTGCTCTCTCGTTAGTTCTACAGTAGTTGTCAGTATATATAGGCAACATCTCAAGGGAAGTTTACGAGCCCAAAGATTACATTTGTTTGTTTCTCTAATCTCTTTGTCTACTTAGGGTTTTCTACTATTTTCTTGTTGATGGATTTGGAGGTTACTGGGAGGTTTGGGATTCATATTTCATAACAACTTCCAGTTTTCGCGGACATTCTTTAACAATCAAAGAGTTTTTGAAATTAGGGTTTTCTATATATTTTTTAATTATTTTCAATTTTTCACGGTTTAGGGTTTGGTTCATATTACATGTATTACTTTATAAGTTGTTGTTGGAAACTTCTCTTCGGGTCTAGTTTAGATTTTATGGTGAAATGGTAAATATGTGGTTGTGCTGATTGCTGCATTGTTATTGTATTGTTGTTGTCATGAATTCATGCTTATGTAGTTCTGTCATATTCTTATTTAAATTCTGTGTAGTTCTATTAGTTTTGTGCTGATTTTCTATAGTTCTATAGTTTTGTGGTATGCTCCTGTAAGTTTGTAGTTCTATAATTCTTCAATGCATAATTTAGTGCTTTAGTGCAATTTGGCGTTTATGAGTGCCTTGGTTCACTAGTTTAGTGTATAATGCTGGCAAAGTTTTGGACTTTTGGTTAAATGCTATACAATTTTTGGTTATTAAATTGTGTATTACTCTTTGTAATTAATAAGTAATAATTATCTTTGTTGCGGGCTAGAATATTCGCAGTGGTAGAGTGAGTAAATTTTTCGTCTTAGCAATGCATAAATATCCAACACACAAATAGAAAGAGAGAAGTAAAATACCCAATCTTTTTATGTGGAAAGCCCAAAGAGGGAAAAATCACGGGGCCTCGCCAAGATGAAAAGATTCCACTAAATTTGAGTGAATTACAAATGTTGACCCGTCTCTTGACTTAGGAGCAGTCAAATTACAGTAGTTTACAGTGTTAGGCAAAGGTCTGGCGACAGTCAAGCGGAAGTCTGATAGCATCCGAGCAAAAGTTCAGTTGATGGGGAATAATCCGACAAAGGTCGGGCGGAAATCCGACAACGCTCAGCTGCTAGGTGGACGTCAGGAGGTGGTCGGCGGTGATTCGATGAAAGTCAAGCTGAAGTCCGAAGGCGATCGGCGGCGGGTTGGAACTCCGGCGACAATCGACGGCCAGGTAGTGGTCCGACGATGGTCGGGCTGAAGTTCAGCGACAGTCGACGGTCGGCTGTCGGTGGCCGGGCAGTGGTCCGACAGTGGTCGGGCTGAAGTCGCTCCGCTGCCAGGCAGTGGGCCGATAGTGGTCGAGCTGAAGTCCGGCGGCGGTCAGTGGTCGGGCGATGGTCCGACGGCGATTTTTGTCTAGAACACGGCTCTGATTCCAATTTGATGCGTCTTCGTATCAAAAACATCAACAAACTCCAAGAGATTCAACAAAAAATAGATTATTATTGATAAAAATTTAAATACGAACAAAACAAGATACAATGGTCCTCTTTCGAGAGAAGGACCTTCTCTCCCAAATCCTATACGCCGTTAGGATCCCTCACAAAAAGAAAACTACAGCACTCTCAAATCAAATTATGCATAAATCAAAATAAACCCTAAACTCAACCGTAAATAAGCTTCTCCTATTTCTCTCCTAAATTAGCCCTCCCCCTTTCCTAATATATTTCACTCTCTAATTTGAATTTCAATTAGGAAACCCTTCCTAATTAATCCCTTACTAAATTCCTCTTCTCACATATGTAATCTTAGGTTTAATGGGCCCCACAAGGAGGACCAAATTCCTTGCCCTATCCATCCCTGCTAGTCCCACCTACCCTCTCCCGTATCAGAATAGTCCAGCATCTCATGTAAAATCATAAGTGGAGTTGCTTCTATGATAATGATGGCCCCTACCTATTAACATGAGATATTTAACCGGATGGTGACACAAAAAAAATACATGTGATCCAACTAAGGTTAGTGGTCTTCCACCATCCAACAAGTTGTATCAAAGCTCCCAGTGCAATTTTTGGCTCGATGATCATTAAGGTCTTTCACAATGGCATAGCAAGGTCCAAGAGTGGGCGAGTTCCATTTGTGTACCTCTATTTAAGTGTGTTAGTGGTTCGTGACTTTCAATTGTGCATAGACACTCATTTCAGGAGTAATAACTGTTTGAAGAACTCATATAGACTAATGAGATGCACAAGAGAGTGGTTATAGTCGCACATTTAATGTGAAATAATGAGTTAAAGTCAGTGAACCAGACAACCCCTAGGACTCCAAAGTCAATTCATAATTTACAATCTTGACTTAAGTTACTAAGTTTTTCAACCATGTATAACATTACAACCTTTACAAAGAGAAAACATATTCACCTTTCAGCACTTAAAATAAAAAACATTGATTTCTCTACATAAAATTTGTGCAAATAGCTTGAAAAAAAATATACTTCAATATCATACAATTATTTCATAGGAGAAAATTAAGTCATTAAATCATAGCTCAACACACTTGACATAAGTTAATTAAATGTACACTAAAATATGTAGGTTAAAAATCTTTTGCTCCCCTGCCAAACAATTATTTCTAAAGGGTTATATCATTATAAATGAAAAGAATTATATGTATATAAGGGTACAGCATACAAGGCCATGATATCAAACTAAATTGTGAAAGACACACACCAGGAAACGGCATGAACATAGCACCAAAAGAAAGTTTTTCAGATCCATATCTCAAGCCCATGACACCATAATCTTCCGGCTGTAACCTGTACATGCAGTCAAAGAACAAATGGGAATGAATTCATGAGGTAACTTCCAATTGGCAAAAGAATCATACCTGTTCGCTGATAGCATTGGAAATATACCAAAAGCCCCAAATCCAAATTTTGGATAGTATGCACATGACCTCAAGCGTAAAATGCTAACCAAAACATGGGAAGATTGACAAAGAATTAGCTCACCAAGTTTTACAAGAAAAAAATTTGATAAACATATTAAAATAAATAGTGAATGCAACATATCTCATAAGAATCAGATTCTTACGGATCATTGGTAGATATGAAAATATCCATGAAAGTGTGCGGGTCATCTAAATCCCTAAAAATTATAACATATGAAAAAACAAATTCAGATATTAACTCATAAAAACTTGAATACTAGCAGAGATAGTAATCAATATAACCTTTGCCAGCGAAATAAGGCATTCCCCACAACATTCTCACCAGTTTTCCGATCTAAGGAACCAGATACCTAAACATATTAAGGCTTGCAACCTGGAACTTGAAAGAGATTAAGTTCTGGCACACATCATTTAACAACAAAGAAAATCAAATATTGATCAAAAAATAAGCACTGAGAATTGGAAGTCGAAATTATTGAAAATAATGGGGATTTACATAAATACCACTTTATTTCATGTTATTTATATATCTAGCATCAAAAACTTTAATATTCCATTCTATCACTCATACATCAAATATAGGTGTAAGGAATATTAAAGTTTATAAGGTGGAATGGCTGTATGAATGAAATATAAGAGTGTCATATTTGATATTAAAATTGTATATTGGTAGTAGGAATGAAACAGTAATGTTTTAAAAGTTAGATATGTAAATAGAATGAAATAAAGTTGTCTTAAAAAAATTAGGGGAGGAAAATTGAAACTAAGGATACCGTCGCAACCAAATCCACATGAGGATCTTCCAATGGCTTCAGCATAATCATAGTGTTCAACTGCCTTGTCTTTTCAAAATAGTCCTCAAACAGGCATCGCAGTGCGAGCTTCCCAAATAGCAAGTCATAAGCTGGAACCAGCATCCTGTTCCATCATATAACAATTTCTACCACCTCATTTCCACATGACAATAGCAAAACTTCCACAGACATGTTCCTAGCAATTTAATAGTACAAATCTACTAAAAAAAAGTATAAAAAATCGTTTGCAACAGAAATCCAAGCAAAGCACAATGGCAATGACAGAAAAATTACAGCATTGTAAATAATCCTCGTTAGTTCCTTGTTCACGAAAAACAAGAGCAGAAGGGAGGGTATTGCGAAACAGCTCAGGTTTTTCATAGGAACAGGTCCAGAGCAACGACAAAGATTTTGTGTTTGCGATTGTTCATAGGAGACAGAGTAAGCATCCAGACCTTGTGCGGGCAGTGAGAGGGGGAAAATCGAAGATGGGTGGCACCAAAACCATCGGCGGCGGAGGTTCCTTGTTCCAGAAGCCGAAGCCGGCGAGATGATTCCCCATCTCTGTCTGTCTGTCTGTCTCTCTCTCTCTCAGTAAAGAGGTTTGATTTCGATCTACAGTGAGCGAGACGAGTAAGGGCCCAGTCGCAGCCTGCTAAATTTTGGTTTATAGACCGGGAATGTGTTTTTTTTTTTTTTTTTTTTTTGGATTGGTTTTTTTTTTTTTTTTTTTTTTTTTTTTTTTGAAGCCCAAAAGGTGCTCCTAGTGCACAGCCCATAAAGAAATAATGGCAGGCAGCATGAACAAATGAAAATAATAATAATAAATATTATAAAAATTCATCATTCCTTCTAACTTCAAAAGGAGGAGAAATTAGTCTGGATGGGAATAATCATTCGGATTGTGATTGTACACACAATGTACAAACAGTATTTACAAAAATTTGAAACAAACTATGTACAAAATTTAAAGCACACTATGTATGAATATGTACACTCACAGTTCGAACGGTTCTTCCCGTTCGTAATCCGCACGGAATAATTTCTTGAAAATGTGAGATTATAAAGTCTAAATTATTTGCATAGTCTTAGGTGATAAAAGTGAAAAATGATAAAGGAACAATAAGGTGTGATAGTCATGAAAGTCAATTGATAATAAATCAGTTGATTGTGGATATCAGTGTCGATTGACAAATGATGATGATGATTAGATGATTGTAGACATCGATATCCATTGATAAAGGCTGGATGGGATCAAGTATGCAAACACAGGCAATCATCAGTGGTAACGAACTTTAAGTGAATATGACGTTCATTAGCAATGATCATTGATGTTGATCGGTGGCTAGAGTTTAAGGATTTTTCAAATTCTAGAACTCACTCCACTCAATATCCACCTCAAAGTATGAAATGAATGTATATTTAGAAATTTTAGATTTCGACATTTTTATTATATTTGTCAAAATCCCTAACTCTCAATTCGAACATCGCTTGATTATCCCCTTAAATTTGATAATTTTCAAGCATTTAAGTGTTAATAACTTTAGAATAAGTTGATTTTTTTGGGATCGTTAGATTCTTTCGATTGAGATGCATATTCTAATTATAGGTTTGTTGAAATGGAGGTCAAATGGTTGAGCAAAAATTCTTGCTTAATTAGCTGAATTTTATGGTAACATATCAATGACTAAGACCTTTTATGATCCAATCAATATTTAAATCAAAATATGACCACCATTCAATAAAACTATGCTTTTTGTTATTTGTAATGAAAGTGAGGTGTATTAGTAAATATATGATGGAGAGTTGAAATTTTATCTTTAATACTATGAAACTATTGAACTATTGTTCTTATTACTCCATTATATTTTATAATTAATATATAAATTTCAATATCCAAGTCATACTACTTGAAATTACTATATTCAGTGTGAAAAATAATGAAATTAAGAGAATCAATATCTCATCCATTGGTTAGGGTCATAAGAAGATATTTGATGGTCAAACTAGTACTTAGGTGAGTGGGAAGAATCCAATCAACATGTTAACATCCTTGATCAACCTAATATCATTTAGTTCAATTATTTAACAATCTTTATCATATTATAAATTATAATATGAAAGTAAACTGAAGGTTGCAATTTTATAGGAAAAATCAATCTTGCTTTGGTATCTATAAAGATGATTAAGAAAAGTTGATACCTGATAAATATAATATGATAGCATTGCCTTGTTAGCATCTGAAAATGACCACTCATTAATGTACCATATGGGTATTCATGTTTGGTTGACTGAAGCAACATGTCACTTTCAAGAAGGATGTGGAGAATGTAAATGATTGTTTCAATCCTTCTTCTAATTAAATAATAAAATCATGAAAAGTAATCGTCTACAATATAGTTTTAATCTAAGGATTGTCACATATATTAAGATATTTAATCATATGGTGACAATTACTTCAAACTTGTTTAGACAAATCAATTTGTATCGAGCTAAAAAGACTTGGATTGCTTTAGGAAGTTGGATCGACATAGCTTTTTATATCATAATCATCCTCGGATGCAACACTTTTTCTTTAATAATTGAAAGATAATTCTCTAGTGATGCAAAACAACATAAAAATCAATATCAGAATATGTAAGAAATAATCTTGTGGCTATAAGAAGCAATAAATGGACACCATTGCAACCCCCTTCGACGAACGAGCAACAATTTGAGAAAATTAAGACAAACTCATTAAAATTGAATTTCTCAATAAGGTAATATATGGGGGATTCATATCTCAATATAGCTTTATTAAGCCCAACTGGTCCTCAACTATAAACAAGGAGAATTATGGTATTTGAATATAGCTTAGACTTACAGTGTTATATATAACATATATTAAGCAAAGGTAGTGTCATTATGATGTTCGCATGAACTACAATAAATGTAAGGAGATTTTTAGCATGTATAAATGACATATAAAGCTAAAATATTGTAAATGTTAGACTTAAGTAGTGACCAAAAGGCCTCTTTATACATTAGTAAGGGAGGTCATAGGAGTAAACTTTAATCATTTTTATTCACAGTTAAAATAACTTGAGGGCACATATTCTTATCATGGCGTTAGATATTGTTAATTAACAATAGGGATCATAAATCTTCTGACAATCTATGAGACATGAACTATTAATCCAACAACTAATCTTGAAATAATAAATATGGCATGATGTACAATGTATGGTGGCTGGACTCTAGAGTTAAGGGTTAAGGAGAATAATTTTATTTAGTGTGAGATGATTTAAGGAAACCTAATGAAAATGATTTGGGGCTTAGAAGATTTTGAAAGATAAAGATCTAAGGGTGTATGAGACTTACCAAGGGCTTGTGGGGTTTAGGCTAGCTTTTAAATGGTTGGTTTGTATGGAGCTTAAGGTAAAGTTTTATGAAAAGATATAATAAGTGTAAGTATTCTATGAATAGCCTATGATGCTAGGAAAAAGGCAAGATTTGTTATGGGCTATGATATAAAAAAATTGGTGTGATAAGATAAAAGAAAGACAAATGGCTAGATTGTGATAGCTTTTGGTTAAATTGCTAAATTTGGAAGAGTATAACAAAAAATGATACTATAGAATTTTCAAAAAATGATTAGTCATGAATGTTTTAACTTAGGTTTCATTTAAGATGACTTTCTAAAAAGCTATTTTAAGAAGTAATAAAAAATCGTTGCAAATGAAGCCTTAGACTTTGATGAAATAGCAAAATGAGATAGTATTAATGACATGATATAATTGACTTCATTTGTATTGAACTTTTTAGTCGTATTACAACACGACTAATATTAAATAATTTCAAATAAAATCTTAACACAATTTACCTATTATTTGCTTTGATCAAAGATATGATAATTGGATAGTTGCACTTGTCATGCATCATAAAAACTTAAGTTAGACTGGCCTTATCCAAACTACTTTGATTCTAGCCAGATGGGATCCAACAAATCAAATGAAAATTGACACATGTGAAAAATTCATGTTCATACTAGCGTAAGCTATTAAACCACATTTCAATTATGAGATGTGGTGGAACTGAGAAGGGTTCCCCGTGCTCATTCAACTTTCTTATTATTTTACTTTTTAGATTTTAATCACAGTTTTATTTGATTTCTCGGTGCTTAAAAAAAAAATAAACCAAAAAAACTTTTTTTATCTTCCAAAAAAATTATTTTTCTCATAATAGTTTTATAATTACACTAATAAAAAAAATTATAGTCATCCAAAATAGATCATTGATATCAAAATTATTTGTACCTAATTAAAAAATTGGAATTTTTACTTAGAACTCATGAAATAGCTTAAGTTTATGAGCGACTTTCTCAAAATTTCAGTAATGTGAAGTGTCCTAATAGGGGCAAATTATTACATTCGGTCGTCGGACACGGAAATATGTCCGGGTATTAATAAAATATTATTTTAAATTAAGCGCGTCAAAAGCGCAATCAAAGCATACCTAAAGCGCAGTCCAAAGTGCGGCTGATGTGGCATGTTTTTATTGGATGTCCAAACCTATTATGCGCGTACGCATGGCGTCTAATTTATGATTGTTTTGGTAGGAAAGAATTACATAGCACAATTCTTATAAATAAACGCAAGAATAAAGTTTCAAAAATAATAATTAATCCGGCGGGAATGGAGGCGCCGGCCCCACAAGGCCGTGATCAACGGCGACGATGCTTTCTAGCGGTAATCATCCGTGAATGATTGCATGACTTTAGAGAGCTTTCGCTTTTGATTGAGCTTTTTTCTTTTGATTAGAAAGTGACTAAACAGCAATGATTTATTCTAAACATAAATCTGTCATTAAAATTAAATCAGAATAAATTTAATAATTTTTAAATTCATTCTAATATAATTTATATTAAATATTTTTATATGAATTTTATTTTAAGTTAATTTGGCCAGTTATATGGGTTTTATTTGGGACAATTTCACCTACAATTTCTATTTGATTAATATTTTTTCACTAATTCTAATAAATTCAAGTTTTATACTAGAAAACTGTTTTTACATCAGCTTTCAAAAAAGCTATTTTTCCATAATAATTTCACAATCACCTTTATAAAAGGCTGAACCCGTCCCAAACAAACCTTTAGTTAAGTTAGATAAGATTTTTTAATATATTTACTAGTTAAATTAAATAGCACCAATAATAATTCCAAATTTCTATGTAAAATTTTGCTAGAAAATTTGGAAAAACATATGCCAAAATATTGTATGAAAATTTAAGATATTATGCCCAATTAAAATTTTTTATTTTTTTCATAAAACATTAAAAAACAAAATTAAGACATTCTTAAATATTTTTAAGATAAAACAATAAATTCTTAAAATTTTTTTATCAAATATAAAGTCTGATAATTTTAGTATGATCTTGATGGAAATATATCATTAAAATGATGGTTCAATTTTTTAAATAAAATTATTTCGTAATATCTTGCTACAAATTATATCAAAATAGAGTTATCAATTATTAAATTCATTTTAATACTATTACAATTTATATCATTTATTTATAATAATAATC